TGGCCAACCTCAACAACATCATCCACCGCCTGGAGCGAGCTGCGAACCGCGAGGAGGCCCTGGAGTGGGAGTTCTGAGCGCCCCCCTCACCCCCCCGCCCTAAATATATATATACACACCTCCATATATATATTTATTTTGTTAAATGCAGCGCACACCAAGAGGCGACAGGCAGCCGGCGCAACGGAGGGAAGCGCCCATGGAAAAGGGGGGGGCCCCCTGCTACGAAGCCACCCCCCTGCTTTGTTTTAAATGTGAAAAACTGGGAACAATTTTAGAAAAGAAAAACAAAAACAAAAACAAAAAATATTTATAGACCTCTTTTAGATATTTTAATAAAAGGATACTTTGGAATTTATTAACAGCTTAAGCTGCTTTGATATTAAAGATAGCTATAAAATCAAGATGATGTAGCAGTCGTGTCATTAAATGTACACTGAAGTCTTGTAGTTTGCCACTGGATGAGATTAAAAAAAACCAACAAAAAAATAAAAAAAAAAAACACAGAAAAGACTTATTGAGCAAAGCCATCGAGAAGCACTATGAGACTGACCAAATTTAATAAACTTTTGCCGAGCAGTTTCCACCTCTGTCTGTAAGACACTGCATCGCTTCTGCCCCAGCCAGAGACTGCGCCATAGTCCCTGAAGACTCTAAAGTGAAAACCTTGACGCCATCGAGTATGTATTTAGTTCTGGTGGTTTATGTTTTTTGAAACCTTTGTAACACAAGAATGTCCCGTGCGGTTGTATATGTTGTAGAAATGTCTGCAATAGCCTTCTGGAACAAGATGTAGCATGGTCCGAACGCCGTCCCTCGCGCTTCCTCCAGCTGGCAACCGGTGGCAGCCCCGATACGGCACGGCACAGCCCCAACACGGCTCGGTGCAGCCCCTGCTAGCTCCCAAAGGAAGAGGAAAAAAAATAATGCAAAAGCAAAGACAGTAACCCATGCTCGCGATTTTGGGAGCGAGATGGGAAAGAGGTAACCGGGTGTGATGCTCGGGGACGGCTCCGGCTCGCTGGGGATGGACGTCCATGGGATCCCAGTTCCCCGCACTCTGTCGTCGTCCGTTTGGGAAAGGCAAAGAGATGGAGCCGCTGAACTTTGGCCTCTGGGGCACCAGTGCTTGGGGATGAGCACCCAAAAATCAGGAGCCGTGCGCTTGTGGGTGGCCAAACCCTGCTCGGGGCTGCTCCCAGCATCACAGCCAGTTCTTGCAGCTGAAGCACTTTTTTTTTTTGGGAGGGCACCTGGGCGGGAGGAGCATCCCCTTGCCGCAGCCCTGTCCCCAGGCGGTGGCTGCCAGTGGAGCCTGGGGTGTTGCGCCAGGCTCCTGCCTGAATTGGGCAAGCTCAGACCTGAAGTGGGCAAAGCACCATTCAGCTTTGGCTTTCCAGGGCTGACCCTGTGCAAAGGCGCGGGGGGTCAGTGGTGGCACCATCCCAGCGGGCTCCCTGCCACCTCCCTGACCCCACCACCGCCAGCCGGCCGCTGCTAACGAAATGCCTTGAAACAACACAGGGTGGCCCATGCTGGGCTGCTCTGCCCTGTCCCCTGCCCACACAGCATCAGCCGTCATCCACCAAGGCCACCGCCGTTGGGAGGGCTCCCCTGCCAGGCTCCGAGGCTATGCATTGACTCATTTTCCACTGTCTACATTTTTATCAGAATAGAAGGTATTTTTATATTCGGGTGGTAGTCGACGAGCGATGCTAAAAGCGGCTCTGCGAAGGCATGGCTCTCCTCGCCCGCCTACCCTGCCCCGGCGAGCCCCAGCTTGCCCACGGCCGCTCTTTTCCCTGCCACCGAGCTGCAGAAGGTCGAGGCGCAACCGTTGGCTGCTCTTTTCCGTCGTGTGCTAGCGGGAGCTTTAGTGGAACGGGATTCGAGGAAGCACTTAGGATAGTCTCGAACACGGCAATCCTGTTGTATTAAAGCTAGCGGGACATACCGGTCACGTTTTTGTTAGGCTCATGTACTGTACTTCAAAAGTTTCTATGAGATCAATGAACTTTGTTTAACAATTTTGGAAGGAACAAGTTCTGTAAAGAGCCACTAAATACAGAAGTTGGATATGACTCCGGCCTTGAGGTGTGTTTTGTCTGGAGGCGGCTGGGATGGGAGCTCCTCTCGCCTTCGCCCGGCGCCTGGGTTGATGTTGGCTCCCTTGGAAGTCACAGCCTTGCTTTGGGTTTATGGCAAGAGCTGTCGCTGCCGTAAACACCTCCCGGTGATTTAGGGAAAAAAAAGAGGGTGTTAAATGAGGTTAGTCCAGCTCAGGCTATAATCCTGCTCCAGGAAAGTCCTGTGCTCATCCCTGGGGCAGCTTTGCTCTGGCTCCTGGGATAATTCGGCATCCTCCGGCGTGAGGTTCAGCTTGGCATTGCCTGATGGCACCGCACCCCGGCACGGCTCTTCTCCAGAGCTGGCCATCGCCGGGCAAGTTTGCAGCTCCCGACACAAGGCAGGGGTGTTTGCATTTGATGAATTAATAAATCCATATGTTGCGTATCTGTTTAAGCTTGTTTGTCGGCTAACATGTTGGGAAGGATTTATTTTTAATGAATATCCGAACGTCTGGAGAAGCTGGGCTGGCTGCCATGGAAACCAGAATCTTCCTCTGCAGCCAAGTGATGGGGCCGCGTTCACCGTCTGGATGCTGCGGGTGTAGCTGCACCCCGGCTGCTCTCAGCAGCACCTCTCCAAAAGCCAAAACACGTAGCGGGGCGCCGTGCCTGGCCAGGAGCAGGGCTCTACGCTCTACAGTGCTCTCAACGAGCAAGTGACCCTGGCTGGCTTCGTCCCTCAGTTTCCCCAAGAGGTGTCACCCCCCAACTTGCTGCAAGAGCTGGAGTCGTTCATGCGGGTGAGATGTTGTGGGCAGGGACACAGGGTCGCGTTGGCCACTTCCACAAGGGCAGGGCCCCCAGTCTCTGCATAGCACCAACACCGGCCCTGGCAAGGGGAGAGAGGTTTTGTCCCTGGCTAAGACCCCTTGACAGAGGGCCGGGGACATCCCACCGAGGGCACAGGGCCACCCAAACCTGGGTGGTGTCAGGCAGTGCTGCCTGTAACCCAGGGTTTGGAGGGATGGTTGTAACATCCCATCGTGCCTGTAACGCACCGGCAACTCACTCTGGGTCACCCAGTGCCATTTCCACCAGTGAAACTGTGGGACGGTTGTGCTCCCAGTCAGTCTCCCAGCTCTTCCAGTGCCCAAACCCCTGTGTTGGTCACCTGTGCCTGGCTGTTCAAGCCATCATGGAGGGCAGAACCATGCTGTCCCCACCATGGGACCACTCTAGTGCTGTGTGTCCTGATGTCCCCAGGGTGGTCCCATCCCATCCCATCCCATCCCATCCCATCCCATCCCATCCCTGTGGGCAGCTGTGGGGTGCCAGGGCACTGCGAGGCCGTGGCGTTGACCGTGTCCCACTTGGGCAACACAGTCTCTGTGCCCAGCCTCACGGACACGGTGGGGACAGGAAGGGGATTAAAATAGAGGATTAATTCCCACCTGGGCCCCCCCTCCCCAGGGGTTTAAAGGCACAAGCAAGAACTGGGGCCAGGAGGGAATTTCTGAAAGAACATTTATTATAGCAAAATCTTGTGCCTGTCCCAAGGGGGCAAAGGGAGCTGGAGCCACCCGGCCCAAACCTGGGGCACCCCATCTGCAACTCCCAGACCAGGGGCAGGTCACCCCACCTCCAGGCCAGCAGCTTTAGTGTCAATAAAATAGTGTAATAAAAGAGAAACACCGGCATGAGACACTGGCTTCGCTCCAGTTTGGCACATGAATCATTTGACACCCTCCACCGCTGACACATACGTTCCCATTCACCACCGCGAGCGATGCTTCCCCTTAGTGAGCCAGCCCGGAGATGATGCCCTGCCCCAAAATATCTGCCCGGCAAGGCGGTGCCCACAGCCGCTGCATTCCCCTCGGGTCTGCCCCCACCGCGGGTTCACCGCTGGACTGCAAGCAGCAATCACCCTGGGTGAAATGCCCGGGGCTGGGTGTCACCAGCCCCAGGTGGCCAGGGTGCACGGTGCTGCTGCCATTAAGGAAGGGCTGCACTCACTGATAATTTCATTTTCAAACCACATCCTGCTGGAGCAGAGGGATCCGGTGGAGCTTGGCCGACCTCAGCCAGTTGCTTGTGCTGGGCAGGGAGGGGAAGGCGGTAGCAGGCTCCCCAGCTGTGAAACACCCATGCAAGGGCTCAGGCAGGCGAGATCCCATCAAAATCCTCCTCCAAAAGCAGTTGGTGCATGGCCCCTGCTGCAAGAGCATCGAGAGGCCCCACCAGACCCAACACAGTGGTCGATTCCCAGGAGGCAACAACCAGCAAGTGGGTTGCAGCTTGCTTGCGCTGGATGGACCACCCTGCACCCGCGCCCGGGCACAGCTGGAGGGGTGCACCCATGCGGGGAGCACTCGCTGCCTGGCACAAGATGCCCAAGAACCTGGCAGCCCCAAGAGCCCGGGGCCTTCACGCCTGGCTGGCAGCATGCTCAGCCCAGCTGCCATCGGTGCTGGGCTGGTGTTCAGCCATCACGGAGCAACACTGGTGTCCCTCGGCACTGGGCCCTTGGTGGCACCATCAGCAGGTGTCCATCACCGCCACAGACAGGGCTGCACATCCTGGGGTGCGGTGGGAACCGAGGCGGCACCAAGGATGACATTTCCTCCCTACCTCGGGTCCTGGCAGATCCCCATGGCTCAGCCACCTTCGGGCAGCCGGTCCACTCCTGGTGTGTTGTTCCACACTGCGCAGCCATTCTCCTTCGATGGGATGGCAGGAAGAGCCGGCAACCGCTCCGGGGATCGCTCCAGCCCCACGGGTTTCGGCTTCCAGGAGCCAGGTGACTGCCGGCAGCCTGCGTATCCACCAGCCGGCCCCCAGCGCATCTCCTCCAGCTGCTTCTCCAGCTCCCGCACCACCAGGCGCATGTAGTCAAAGCTGGCTCGTGAGAGCGACTTCACCCACGACTCCATGGCAGCCTGGCTCTCGGCCGCCAGCACGTAGGTGCGAGACTTGGCGCCGCCGAAGCGGATGGCGAAGGCGAATTCCTCCGCTGAATCGCAGAGCTCCACGGTGCAGCCCTCCAGCACGATGACGCCTACCGGTTCCCGGCTCTCCCGCTCCTCGAAGTAGAAGAGCATGTTGCCCTTCAGCACGAACCAGCGGCGATGGTATGCCGTGTGCCGCTCGCCGCGCTTGTAGAGGAAGCCGGCGTTGTCAGCAGGGGAGTCGCAAGTGGCGTAAAAGGCCAGGCTGCGCTCGTTCAGCTTCATGGCTCTGCACCCTGCAGGGACAGAGGGTGCTCAGGCTCCTGCTCACGTGCAGGGAATGGCAGCACCTTAATTGCACAGTAATCAGCTGTCAGGTTTTTGTTCCCAGCAGCGCTGGCCCTGGCACCCAGGAAGTGGAGCCGGTGAATAAACAGCCCCGTGATCGCAGCTGGGATAACCCTGCTCCCAGCCAAGGTGCTGTGTCCGGTGGGTGCCGGGTGTGGCAGGGCTCCCCGGGCCCCCCTGGGGAGGGGGTTTCCCCCTCAGCCAAATGTTTTCCCACAGAGGAACCCAGGACAGGGCTCGTCCCAGTGCCCCACGTCACCCGGTGCAGGTGACCTTACCGCCGGCGCCGTGTTTGCCCTGCGTCACGGCGTTCCTCCCCAGATCTGGAGAGCCGTGGCCATGGACTGGGTCACCTGGGCAAGACCACCTCTCGCCTTAGCCCCTAACCACCGGTGGCCTTGCTGTGCCAGGCTTTCCACCTACCTGGACTCTGCCTCTAGCTCCGATCCTGGGCGGCCGCCAGCATCAGCGCTGCA